TTTTTTGCTTGTCTGTGTCTTTGGATTGGGGGATTTAGTCGATTTAAATTTAGAATTAATAATAATATATGTGAATTTAATACTGCCATTTAATGTTAGCTGGCTGTTTTTCCTATTAGCTGATGTAAATTCTTGATTATGTTGATGCTCTTTACTTTTTGGTATTTTTTAGAAAGGCTGATACTGGTTGTTCCTTTTTATGTGTAGTGGTTCTTTCAGAAGCTCTTGTAAAGCAGGCCTGGTGGTTATGAAATCTCTGAGTGCTTGCTTGTTCACAAAATATTTTATTTTTCCTTCGCTTATGAAGCTTAGTTTGACTGGATGTAAAATTCTGGGTTGAAAGTTCTTTTCCATAAGGATGTTGAATATTGGCCCTCACTCTCTTCTGTCTTGTAGGGTTTCTGCTGAGAGATCTGCTGTAAGTCTGATAGGCTTCCCTTTATGGGTAACCTAACCTTTCTCTCTGGCTGCACTCAGTATTTTCTCCTTCATTTCAACCCTGGTGAATCTGGCGATTAATTGCCTTGAGGTTGGTCTTCTTGAGGAATATCTTTGTGCTGTTCTCTGTATTTCCTGGAGTTGAATATTGTCCTGCCTTGCTAGGTTGGGAAAGTTTTCCTGAATAATATCCTGAAGCGTATTTCCCAGCTTGGATTGATTCTCTTCGTCACATTCAGGTATACCTGTCAAGCGTAGATTAGGTCTTTTCACATAGTCCCATATTTCTTGGAGACTTGGCTGGTTCCTCTTTATCTTTTTTTCTCTAATCTTGTCTTCTTGTTTTATTTCATTAAGTTGGTCTTTGACCTCTGATATCTTTTTTTCTGCTTGATCAATTCAGCTGTTAAAACTTGTGCATACTTCATGAAGTTCTCGTGTTGTGTTTTTCAGCTCCATTAATTCACTTATATTCCTCTTTAAATTGTGTATTCTTGTTAACGTTTTGTCAAACCTTTTTTTCAAAGTTCTTAGTTTCTTTGCATTGGGTTAGAAGAAGTTCTTTTAATTCACAGAAGTTTCTTATCATCCACCTTTTGAAGTCTGCTTCTGTTAATGGAACACACTCGTTCTCCATCAGGCCTTGTTCTGTTGCTGATAAGGAACTGTGATCCCCTGTAGAGGGAGAGGCGTTCTGATTTTGGGTATTCTCAGCCTTTTTAGGCTGTTTTCTTTCCTTCGTTATAAATGTATCCATCTGTGGTCTTTATAATTACTGTCTTTATAATTGGGTTTCTGAGTGGACATCCAACTTGTTGATTCCCGGCACTAAAATCTGAGCAACCCACTGCACCAGCCAAAACAGTGGCGTTATGATTGATGGTGCTTTTCTGACTCTGCACCAAGAACCACCGCACCAAGGCAGCGGCAAAACCGCCTCACCGGCCACTGGCGACCCGTGGGGCTCCTCCGCTGGGAATCTCCTGGTGCGTGAGCAACAAAAATTCGTCTGAAAGTGTGGCGTCCTCTCATTCTCTGCGCTTTCACTGGGAGCTACAATCCTGAGCTGCTAGTGATCAGCCATCTTGGATCTCTCTCCCAGAAGTCATCTTCTTAATTGGTTAACATTGATTCAGAGAAAGGTAAATAAATTATACTGAAAAAAATTATGTTCTTAGAAAAATGGAAGAAGGGTAAGAAGAAAGATGTGGGAAAGAGAATGGGAGAGAAATAAGAAATATACAGGCTGTGTTTATAGATATTTGACTTTTTATACATATATGTATTTTTTATTGCACTTTAGGTTCTTACAGATATTTGACTTAATAAGAGGTCAAAGAGTAAATTTGGACCCAGAAAATGTGCCAGGTAGGATACAGGCTAAACTGCTGTCACTTTGGAGTAATTATAATTGTAACTGCTGAGATTCCAATAATTCAGTGGCTCAAACAAGATGCACAATTATGCTCTTTCACGTACAGGTCAGAAGGAAGCCTGTTCTACAATGTGGGTCGTGGGAGGGTGGCTCTGTTTCTCAAGGCCATCAGAGAGCCAGGTTTTCTCTGTCTTGTTGGCCTGCCACCCCCTGGAGTGCTGCTTTCCTCCGAATTAGCAAATCTGGCTTGCCAACACAATGTCTGCCTTCCAGGTGTGGGGAAGGGACTAAAGAAGATTGGAGAGCCATCAACTTGCTGTTTTAGCCACAGGGCCACACCAAGCTGTAGGGAGATGGGAAGTGTGGGCCAACCTACCCAAAGGAAAAAGGGGAGAGTGGCTGCTAGAGAAAGGCGCTGGCCTTGGGAGTGGGCATCTCACTCTAGAGAGCCTGACCAACAGGGAAATGTGCTTACAGGACCAGAGACAGCATTGCATGCATATTCCCCTTTATAACGTGGTTCTCTTCTATGAACCACACAATTGTGTTGTTAGATAATTAAAGAAGAGCAACTGGGGCCGGGTGTGGTGGCTCACGCCTATAATCCCAGCACTTTGGGAGGCCGAGGTGGGTGGATCATGAGGTCAGAAGATCATAGACCATCCTGGCTAATATGGTGAAACCCCGTCTCTACTAAAAATACAAAAAATTAGCCAGGCGTGGTGGCACATGCCTGTAATCCCAGCTACTTGGGAGGCTGGGGCAGGAGAATAGCTTGAATCCAGGAGGTGGAGGTTGCAGTGAGCCGGGATGGCATCACTGCCCTCCAGCCTGGGCAATAGAGCAAGACTCCATCTCAAAAAAAAAAAAAAAAAAGAAGAGCAACTGTCACAATTCCCATTTTGTTACAGGTACTTAGGCATGATTGGAGGCAGGAGAGGGCTCTCCCCCACCAGAAATGTTGGGTGATTGGCAGGGAGCTCCAGGGAGAGGCCATTTTCTGGTGGTCCACACCTGTCGTACTTCGTTAATTGAATACAGATACCAGGGAAAAGCAACTTCCCAGCATGTGCATTAAGAGACACAATGACATAGTATGACCTTCTGGGGGCACTACACTGGAAAAGGGAAGAAAGCCTCAGATGGGCATGCATACAGCTTCCTAAACACACTGCACACGCTCACTTCCCGAAGGTAAGGAGAGCAGCCCACCCTAAGGGAAGAATCATGGGAAAGGGGTGTCAGATGCCGGAAGTGGGCCAGCAATATAAAGTCCTAGGATTAAGGTTAAACATTGCATTTGTTCTTCAAGTAGCCCACTTGGATCTCTTCTAAGTGTGCTTTCCTGTCTTTCCTGCTCTAAAGCTTTTTAATAAACTTCCACTCCTGCTCTGAAACTTGGCTCAGTCTCTTTTTCTGCCTTATGCTCTCAGCCAGTTCTTTCTTCTAAAAAGGCAAGAAATGAGGTTGCTGCGGACCCATACGAGGTAACTCAGATACATTTCCACTATTAACAATTTTACATAAACTTTTAGAGATATATTATCATTAGCTCAGAGTAACACAACCAGTAAATGGTAGAGTCAAGGTTCAAACTCAGGTCTTTAGACTTGTAAATCTATTGAGCCAGTAAGCAACAGTGCCCAAGACTGCCCCCAAATCTGGTCTCTTTTCCACCCCACCAAATTACCTCACAATCCCACTGATTCCTTGTCACACCACATAGGATGTGTGTGGAAATCTGTGAACCCAGGAGAGAACTGAGGTTTCATTTTGTGAATTTCTAGTAGAAAAATTGCATGCTGAAAAGGTGGAGAGGTGGAGGGGAGGGGGCAAAAAAAAAAAAAAGAAAAATTTCATGCCTGATTAAATGCCTATTATTAGACATTTAATATATATATTCTTCTATTAGGAGATTCCATTCTTACTTTCACTGGGCAGGTTTCCTAAATGGTCATGTAATCAACACTGGGAGTAATTCCCTGATCCTTAGCCTGTTTTGCACCTGTGGTTTAGCTTTTGCCAGGAGGATATGCAAAAGTGGGGGGGGGAGGTGGACAAGAATTGAATGATAGTTTTTTTCATGTGACTGGGAGGAGCCCTTTATTCCAGCCCCTGCATATCTCCATTAAAAGCAATCACTACCTGTGGACAGCCACAGAGCAGGTTTATTAGCAGGGAGCCACCATGGCCAATAAGTCCAAATTTATTGAGTACATTGATGAAGCTTTAGAAAAATCTAAAGAAACTGCACTTTCTCACTTATTTTTCACCTATCAGGGGATTCCTTACCCCATCACCATGTGCACCTTGGAAACTTTCCAAGCGCTGGAGACCTTCGAAGCCACATATGATGACATCGTGGTAGCATCTTATCCAAAGTGTGGTAAATAACAAGGCTTTTCCTCCAAGTACACTTCTCATAGTGAGTAGGTTGGGGAGGGTGTGAGACAGGTGGGATAAAGGTGGTTCCTCATTGCAGGAATCTGGCAGAGCATCAGTGAGGAGGAGGGCCACTGTGGTTAAGTACCGAGGTTGTAAAATCAGTAAATAGAACTGCTAGATTTAAAAACCCCAGGGTCTGGAGGAAGAGCTCTGTGTGGAAAGGCCATGATGGAGGATGGATGGCGGAATGGGATGGATGGCAGGCCTGGAAGGAGGAGCATGAACGTGGGAAAGTCCAGTTGGCAAGGAGGAGTGACAGTAGCAGCAATTTTGTCTTGATTTCTGACTGGACTAAAGCACGGCCACTTCTATAATTTACATTGATGATTTTCATGTAATAAATTATTTTTCAGGATCAAATATTACTCCTTCAGTTTCTCAAATCACGTTACAAAGATCATTCATTAATGGAAAATAAGATATGAAGAATCTAAATTATCCTGCTTTCTACCATCTGCTTTGAATTCTTTCTACTGTTGTTTGTTAAAGCTAACCTCATTTAATATTTTTTTCTTTTTTCTTAGCTGATGCTGTGTTTTCAAAAATTAAAGTTATAGATTCCTGTAGAAAATATGTATTGATTTAATGTAAAATAATATGTTTAACTTATAATAAACAATTTCTATAACATAACAGTGTTCTATAAGGAACATATTCTGGATCCAAAAAGAAGTATTGTCCCTTGTTAAAGGAAACACCTGAGAAATAAGTTGAATTTTATATTAATATAGGTAAATGCTGTTTTCCATCAAACCATTTCTTTCCATAGCCCAAGTTATTGCAAATACAGAAGAACTAAATATACACATCAGAGAATGGTTGTAGATTTTAATTTTTATCATGTATATGCTAAAGTAACATGCTTTTGTTATATCAAGACATTGTAATGAGCTTTTATTCTCTAATTTTTCTGATAGGTTCAAACTGGATTCTCCACATTGTCAGTGAATTAATATTTGCTGTTTCTAAAAAGAAGTATGAATATCCAGAATTCCCAGTTCTTGAATGTGGAGATTCAGAAAAATATCAGGTTAGTACAACAGCCTTTAACCTTATGGCAAATTATCATAGAAATATTTCTTCCAGTTTGGAGATTCCTTAGTTTTCAGTTTATAAAGTGCAATACTAATAATTATTGCAATTTACTGTGTGCTTGTCATATCCTCAGCAATTTTCAGGTATTAGCTCATTCTATCGCAAAATACCCTTACTACCGTTTCACAAAAGATAGAACTGCTAGGGACTTGCCGAAGGTCAAGGAACTAATAAATGATGGAGCCAAGATTTGAACCCAAGCTTTCTAATTTGAGCTCTTAACAACTGTACTGTATAGGCAGCCTGTTTTTGTTCTTTTTATTTTAAGTAGGGGAAAAGTAAACTGAGAAACCTCAGACAATGAACAGAAAGGCCTCATCTCTGAAGACATGAACCTGTGCAGGATGCTAATAGGAATCACCAGTCTTTTTCTAGTAAGGCATGATTTTTTTTTGAAATGGAGTCTCACTTCATTGCCCAGGTTGTAGTGCAGTGAGTGGTATGATCATGGCTCACTGCAGCCTCAACCTCCTGGGCTCAAGTGATCCTCCTGCTTCATCCTCCTGAGTAGGTGGGACTACAGGCACGTGCCAGTACACCTGGCTAATGTAAAAAAAAAATTTTTTTTTGCAGAAACAGGGTTTCCTTTTGTTGCCCAGGCTGGTAGTGAACTTCTGGGCTCAAGTGATCCTCTTGCCTTGTCCTCTCCAAGTGCTAAGATTATGGGCATGAGCCAGACGTGATTTTTGATTTACCTATCTCAGTTATGATTTGTGTGTGTGTAAGGGATGGGAAGGAGTCAAGCATTAGCTAAGAGAGTTAAGTCACTGATGTGTATGAAGGGGATAACAGGTCGCTCTAGCTGTTATTACTCACCTTCCCAGATTTTACACTGCAAGTCACAACTGGAGCTTGGGTGTGAGGCAGGATGTTCTACTCCCTGCCCAGGGAATGCAAGAAAGGAGTGGGAGGAGGGTCTGCCTCAGGACTTCAGTGCTTGCACAGAGCAAGAGCAAGGAAGACAGCCCCTCCCCACTCCTAGACATGCCAGAATGCAGCGGGGAAGGGAAGGCTGAATTCAAGGGGGAGCCATAGTCTCAGTAAAACTTTCAAAACTCCCAACGGGCAGACAGAACTCAGCTACTACATAAAACCACTGGATTGGGACTGAGGTAACAGTATCTGGAAGGTGACTGAGACACTGGCATGATGCCAAATACAAACTTGAAAGTTGGAATCTAGGTGGAAGGAAGCTCATTTCCATGGATTAGGCCAAAGTAGCAGGAATATACCTGGTAAAGGAGATAGGTGTTCGGAGACTCAGAGAGGGTGGTTTGGGGGTGGGTGCTGAGTCCTGGATCTGGATGGCAACAAAGGACCTGGGAGGGTCACTTGTACCAAAGCAAACCTGATGAAGGCTCAGCCAAGACTGGCCCAGGAACACCGACATAGGATGGGCCAGCAGGGGCAATAAGAAGCTTTGTCCTAGGTAGGAAAGAAAGGAAAAGGCCCATAGACTTCTCCTGTCCAGGCCTTTGCATAACCTCTTTCTAAGGAGAGTGCTTAAAATCATCTTTAGAAATGATGCCAATATTTATCCAGCTTTCAATTTTTCTTCTTTTTGAGACAGAGCACCCAGGCTGGAGGGCAGTGGTGTGATTTCGACTCACTGCAACCTCCACCTCCTGGGTTCAAACAATTCTCTTACCTCAGTCTCCCAAGTAGCTGGGATTACAAGCGTGTGCCACCACACCTGGCTAATTTTTTGTATTTTTAGTAGAGACGGGGTTTCATCACATTGGACAGGCTACTCTCAAACTCCTGACCTCAAGTGATCCACCAGCCTCGGCCTCCCAAAGTGCTGGGATTACCTGCATGAGCCACTGCCCCCGGCCAATATGTCTTTTATTTTTAAATGGAAATCAGTGAAATGAACTTCACTTAACAATTATTTGCTTTACAGAGAACTTTTCTGGAATACATATTTTTCCTTAAATAAGGTATCTAGTCAGCTGGGCGCGATGTCTCACACCTGTAATCCCAGCACTTTGGGAGGCCGAGGTGGGTGGATCATGAGGTCAAGAGATCAAGACTATCCTAGCCAACATGGTGAAACCCCTGTCTCTACTAAAAAATACAAAAATTAGCTGGGCGTGGGACTATAGCATGCGCCTATAGTCCCAGCTACTAGGGAGGCTGAGGCAGAATTGCTTGAACCCAGGAGGCAGAGATTGCAGTGAGCCGAGATTGCGCCACTGTACTCCAGCCTGGCGCCTGGCGACAGAGCAAGACTCTGTTTTTTTTTTTTTTAAAAAAAAAAAGGTATCTACTCTTTGCTTACTTTTGGGCTTTATTACACATTTTAATGAACATAGTAGCATATATTATATAGCTATCTAATTTTGTTACAGTTGACTTCCGTTTTTCCATTGGGTGCTTTTCTAGTCTTCTTAGTAACTTTACAATTTCTCATGTGTCTGTACATGATTTTTGGCTGTGCAGTTTAATGGCCACCACACTCTATTACTTAATCTGAAAATAACCACCTGTGCAATTTTGCACAAAGTGCTTAAAACCTCAAAGCCTGTTTTTAATCTCTAAAATGGGGGTTAGAATATCTTGAGAGGATTGTTGCGAATGAGTATGAAAATGCTTCAAATGTTTAAAGGTACAATTCGATGTAAATCAGATTTTATACTGCTAGTCACCACTTAGGCCCATAGCATGCATTTAAATTGTGTTTTATTTTTAAAATTTCATTTTTTGCCCCCTTGCTTGAGTTGGGATCTCCACCAAGTTTTTATAGAACAATTGGCTACAAACATCTTAATATCCTTGTATCACTTGCAATGAGAATTTATATTGTAGCAGCAACCAACCAGTGAGTGACCTCTACAGATGTGGGACTAAAAACTTGAAGCCGGGAATCACGAGAAACAGACAAACTAGGAGAGAAAAAAAGAAAAAAAAGTTGAACATGGTGCTGGGTGCAGTGGCTCACACCTGTAATCCCAGCATTTGGGGAGGCTGAGACGGGTGGATCACCTGAGGTCAGGAGTTTGAGACCAGCCTGACCAACATGGAGAAACCTCATCTCTACTAAATTAGCCAGGCATGTTAGCATGCGCCTATAATCCCAGCTACTTGGGAAGCTGAGGCAGGAGAATAACTTGAACCCAGGAGGCAGAGGTTGCTGTGAGCCAAGATTGCGCCATTGCACTCCAGCCTGGGCAAGAAGAGCAAAACCCTGTCTCCAAAAAAATCTTGAAGCCTTACTTCCCTGCATAACATATACTAATGATCTGATTATAAGTGAAAACCCTTAATCCTAGCAGATCAAATTGATAATTTTATCTTCAAAATTATCTATAGAAATAGATTACAGAAAAAGAATCAATCACTTTAGTCCATACACTGACAAGAATTTCTCTCATTAAACATTTCTCAGACATTTAAGGACTCTGTGCTTTCAGGTTCCACTGAGATATTTTATTGCCTAGAGTTTTAGTTGGTTAAACAGAAAGATTTAGATGCTAAAAATGGATTTGCAGAAACTGTGGAAAGACTTGGCTATTTCTGTTAAAGACCTTGAATATAGAAGAGATCCAAATTAAATGAAAGTATAGATTTCAAATTATGAGCTGTCTTGAACAAAATGGATTTGATATAATTGTGGGAGAAGGTGATTAAAAAAAATACAAAAACGATTGGGAAATGGTAAGCAGGGTACAACTAAGAAATTCAAGAATATTTTAATTATTTGTTTATTTATTATTCTTCATTCCTCATCTCCACAAAGTAAGAAAATATAAATTAAAGAAAATTGGCTGGGTATGGTGGCTCACGCCTGTAATCCCAGCACTTTGGGAGGCTGAGGTGGGTGGATCAGCTGAGGTTAGGAATTCAAGACCAGCCTGGCCAACATGTCAAAACCCTGTCTCTATTAAAGATACAAAAACTAGCCCTGCGTGGTGGCAGATACCTGTAAGCCCACCTACTTGGGAGGCTGAGGCAGGAGAATCGCTGGAACCCGGGGGGCAGAGGTGGCAGTGAGCCAAGATCGCACCACTGCACTCCAGCCTGAGAGACAAAGTGAGACTCTGTCTCAAAAAAGAAAGAAAAAAAAGAAAGAAAGAAAGAAAGAAAGAAAGAAAGAAAGAAAGAAAGAAAGAAAAGTATTGGAAGAGGA